GTAAATGATCGTTTATAGGTTAGTGGGCATCTGGGATGGTTTTTCCTCCACCATGCTGGCCTCTGTTTAATTAAATGGTAATAAATGTCACTTTGTAGGTTTCAGCCTCCATAGAGTACAACTATCCCACTGTGCACACACTGGGAACCCCAGGCCTGTTGGTAAATCACAAGATGCAGAAGAGGATTTCACTACTCAAACTGTGGCTGCATACTGCTGGCATCCCTAAATATGTGGAACTTACCTCTCTCACTTTACATAAGAAGTGCAAAATATTGAAAACAGCACAATAAAAAGAAAAAAAAATCTAAGAATAGAAAATAGCCATTCAAGTCAATCTTTAAAAGCCAACGCTAAGTAGTCTCAAAAATGAGTTCATTTTCCTTTTAAAGTATGTTTCAAAGACACATAATAAAACTGGTCAGCAAATTATTATTTGAGAACAAGGGAAATGAAAAGGAAAACAATAAGGTACTACATGGCACAGTGACTGTGCTATTTATTTATTCATTTATTTATTTTACCTTTTTTTTTCTTTGAGGTGGAGTATCACTCTGTCACCCAGGCTGGAGTGTAATGGCATAATCTGGGTTCAGTGCAACCTCTGCCTCCTGAATTCAAGCAGTTCTTGTGCCTCAGCCTCCCAAGTAGCTGGGAATACAGGCATGTGCCACCATGCCCAATTAATTTTTGTATTTTTAGTAGAGTTAGGGTTTTGCCATGTTGGCCAGTCTGGTCTCGAACTCCTGGCCTCAAGTGATCCACCTGTCCTGCCTTCCAATGTGCTGGGATTACAAGTGTGAGCCACCATGCTATTTATAATACATTTAGAAACATGAGTCTGTTCACTGGCTTACTTCTGGCTTGCTTCTTTAGCTGCAAAAGATAAGAGGAAAGAGTAATTCAGGAAGAAGTATCAACGAATACTTGTTGGTACCTCATTGAGGACACCTTAGGTTACTATTATTATGTATCACATCATTTTCGTCACCGTCATTATCAAATATTTATTAAACACCCAAAGAATGCATAGGCCTATAGGTATAGTTGAGAAGCAAAGTTGAACTAAAAGCAAAGAAAGGTATGTATCATATGTAAGTTAATTGGTGGGTTATAGCGTCTGTCACTTCAAGGACAGTAGTTAGATCCATTCCAAGTTAACTGGTCAACCTGGTTTTTGAGTTCTTTCTAACTCAAAAACTAAGTTGAAATGGCTGAGCCTATGCCCTCCATCAGACCTCTATCCAAATCACATCATTAGCACCTTGCTGATATATAAAAGATGGGAAAAACAAATTTTATACCCATATTTTAGTTCTTAGTTTTGTAGGAATTCCTCTTCTTATGGCTGTTGCTTGAATATTTGATATACTGATACTTCCTGGTTTTCTTTTTAATAATGATGTGAAGATGCTAGGTTGGATTTTGATCACCTTGGCAACCATCGCTGTCTTAGTCTCCTGCTGTGTGGCAAGGTGCTGCTCTCCCCTCACCTCTCTGCAACATTGCTACTGGACCAGTCACCTCCAGAATGAGAGAGAACTCTTTGAACAAGCAGCAGAGCAGCACTCTCGGCTCCTCATCATGCAGCGCATAAAGAAGCTATTTGGCTTCATTCCCGGAAGTGAAGATGTTGAACACATCCGTATTCCTTCTTGTCAGGACTGGAAAGATATTTCAGTACCCACTCTTTTATGCGTAGGTGATGACTTGCGAGGTCACTATAGCTTCCTTGGAGATAGGGTGGGTGAGGATAATGAGGAAGACAGATCAAGAGGTATTGAATTAAAACCTTGATTTCAGCACCTTTTATGAGTCAGATTGCTTAGCAGGTACTTGGTTTTTATGATCAAGATGTTTCAGTGTAATCTCTTCATCTTTTTCTTTCTCTTCTGATATTTGTTTATGTAAGTCCATCTCAAATATTTCTAAAATCAATTTGTTAGATAACTGTGCCAATCTCTCTTTTTGAAATTTTATCAATGGTCTGGTAATGCCTAGAGTGTCATTTTGGCCTAATTAAAAACAGTATGGAATGTGAAGTCACATGGAAATTTGCATCTTAGTTCTGTTATTTAGTAGCTGTGTGAAAATTAATATTTCTGAGAGCTATTTTGTCATCTGTACATTGTAGCTACCTGCTAGAGCTATTATGAAAATTAAACATGATAACACAAAGTGTTTAGCACAGTGCTTTTTGTTAAAATAGATGCCAATAAATGTTACTTTCTCTTTTGCATTCCATGTCTTCTATCACTATTTTCCCTGCATCTATTTTCTGGTTTTATCAGTTTCTACTTTAATATAATATCCACAACTTTTCACAGCCTCCCCTTCTTTCTTCAGACCTAAATATCTGACCTTGAGGGAAGCAGGACAAAAACCCCTTTTTAATCCAGTAACATGTGAGGGAGAAGCCCATGCAAGAAGGTCTTGAGTTATCCTACTATGAACCAGGGGACAATGACATATTATTGTACTATTATTAGCATCATATTATTTGTAGCACCTCCATACTAGAAGCATTTTTATGGCCACTGCATATAAAGTTTCTTCTAGAAAGCTTCTCCACTGTGCTCTACTACAGAGATACCATTGGTACCTTTTCATTACCAAATTGCACCTTTGGACTCAAAATCCATTTTTGGAACCAAAACTGCAATCTGTACTTTTATATCCATTATCTGTAACTCCAAAAGAGAAAAATTCCTGCTTGACGTTGCTCTGCCTGACTTTACTAAATGCAGTATCTGACAATTTTCTAATTTGTCTAGATTATTTCTGTGATATATAGTGTCTCATGCCTGATTTTTGCTGCGTTCACTGAAGCAACTTGCTCATTAGCAAAAATAAGCTATCTGAAGGGCTTCTATCTGTTTATTTCTTTAGCCAAAACAATGCTTACTGGACAGTGGACCAACTGCCAATAGTCAATTCGATTTTCAAGATATGCTTTCAAGGAGACCAAGGAACTTGACTCTACTACCTAAAATGCAATCAATTACTTGGTAATCCACTTTTACACAATTATGGAAGTTTCTATTTTGTATAAAATTCTGGGTCCTTGAACTAAATAGGAAGAAGCAGAAAATGAAATAGAAATTAAAATGTTTTCAGGTTTTGTTTTGTCCTCCAATAAGAGACTGTATATTGTAGTTCTTTGCTGGGACAGGAGAACCGTCCCACCCTCACCATTACTCATCTGTCATTTGACCTTGGACAAATCAGTTCATCTCTCTGGGCCCTGGATTTTTTTCATCTATACAATAGGGATGATAATATTTTACCTCTTGGAAGGAAAGAACTGAACTAAATAAGTGCTTACGGTCTCTCTTACATCAAGTACGATTTTTATGCTTATAGGTATACAGGTTAATGTTTATGTTTGTATGTATACAACTTTCTGAAATGGTAATAGATCCAGGTTGCTTCTCTTGGAAGGAAAATATCACCAGCTCTGAATCTGAGCTTTCCCTGAAGACATTTACTGGCATTCCACTTTTAAAAGAATATTAATGTACTGACCCTTTTCAAGTCATCAAGGAAAGCCATTCCAGTTTGTCAACTAACTCTACATCCAGTACTGATATGACATTAAATGAATGATGTTAAAAATGCAAATAGAAGTATGTTATGGAAGTCAACTAGGGTTCTAGTCTCAATCTGATATAAGTGAGCTGTAAATATGGAGTGTCACATCCATTTTGCTCCCTAAGGTCTGCTCCAGTTCTAAAATTCTGTTTCTATATACCTGATAATTTTTTATTTTCCTCTGTATTGGAACATACTAGCTAAATGAACACTTTCAACCACGCTCAGAATTAGTTTATTGGTTTTCAGGAACTATACCACAGTAAAGACTCTTCAATAAGATTTTGGCTAATAACAAAATCAAAGAATATCTGAAGTTATAGCATTACATCATCAGAAAGATTAATAGTTGTTTATACCCTAATACCAGGAAACTTTATTTCCATTAGCTTCTGAAGCCCTTTCTACATCAAATTCTTAGAGTGTATGATGTAAAATTTTATATTTTGAGCCAGTTAATCATGATCTTCTCCTAAAACTTTCTGGCAAAGGATTCTAAGTATTCGTTGGCTCTTCTACATGGCTTCAGAGTGATTTATAGCATCTATGTGAACATTTAAAAGGTGGTACATACCCCTGGTATTTCATTGTACAGTACATTATCTATCTCAAATAAATTGAATTTTTAGTCTTTTCTTGGGGGGTGTGATCTATAGCCTTCTTTTGATCCACAGCTACTTAAATGAAACTTTTTCATTAAGAACATGGTACTGCCTCCCCTTTATACTTAATGGATTTATATAATTATAAAACATATAATTAAAATCAATTATGTGCTAATACTACTTTATATTTTGCTACTAAATGCTTTTGGCTACCACATCAAACCCTGGAGCTTGACATATATAAACCTGCTCCTTTCTTAATTTCATTATCTCCTCCACGCTCCCACCATGACCTAAGTTGCCTCCTTCCCAGGAGACAAATGCAAACGAATGTGCAGATGTGTTTTACTCAGCTTTCTTTATGTTTTCCAAAACTGAACTGTAGAACCGCATTTATACTCTGTCCTTCTCTGTGTCTCTTTCCTCTATACTCAGTCTTACATTCATTTTCTTTTGAAATTCTAATGCACGATTATAATAAACAACAGTGTGATTTTACTAGATGTTTTCTTGCATTTGGTTTGTAGCACAAAGGGAAATCACATTAATCGTAAAAAAGTTTGAAGTATCATGGCCAACCAAAGACCTTCTGAATGCAAGTCTAGGTTGGTATTTGCTATCTCGAAAACACAGGGTGTGGAGATACAACTTTAACTTCTAAATAGAGTCTATCGAAATTTAGTATCAGTCAATAAAGGACAGACTGGCAGGTGGAGGAGCGTAGACAGCTACACAACTGGCTTCTTGAGCTGGGGGGTGTAAATCCATTATTGTGACGTCTGGACCGAAGAGCAATGAATAGTATTTCCAGGGAGGCAAACTGTATTATTCCTGACCTGAATTATTTTTCTGTACTAACAACCAAGTATGATTAAGCTTCTGTAATTTCAGTATATCAGAACTTCAGCAACAGAATGCATGAATTTTAAGTATGGGTTCCTCTTCTGCCACCCAGTGGTCAAAACAGGTGTCTGCACCATCTGTGGTGATGGTAGAAGCAGTAAAAAGAATATATAATGTTCACTGTATGTACTTTTAACAAATTCTCCTACTTACACCTTTTGATGCAGTGGCAAATAGTCACCTATTAAAAAGTAACTTGCTGAAATTACCCAGTTTCAGGTATTCCGTTATAAGCTTAGTCCAGAAAATGGACTAAGACAGAGAAAGCAGAGTTGTGAGGGTGAGGGTGAGGGTCAGGAAGTCAGATTCCCTAGGACCTATATTATGAACACATGGTCTTTAATCTGAGCTGAGAATGGGGCAGTTATGAGCAAAGTAGTGATAAAGACTGGTTTAGATTGTAACTCTGGCTTCTGTGCTGAGTCAGAGTAGATTGCAGGCCAGTGAAGTGACTTAGGCTGGAAAGCATTACTGAGATTCACTACCCTTGAAGAGATCTCTCTTCAGAGTACACAAAATTAAAATTTTATATGGCTCTTTGTGCTTGTGACTGGTGAAAAGTCTTTGAGATACCTGAGTAAGTGAAACATTAACCACAGGAACTGTTTGAGAATTAAAATCAAGCATTAAATGAGGAATTCTCAACACTGAGCTTACTAAGAGTAGTGTGATTGCCTAGAAAACTAATCGGCACAGAAAAGTAAAAATAAATATCAAAAGAATTTTTAAAGGCTGATAGTATTAGTAAACAGCAATTGCTAATATGCATTACCTGCAGAAGAAACTAAGATGAATACAAATAAGATAAACCTCTTAGGGACATATTTTTTATTAGCAATAAAGATGAACAGAGAATAGCAATGCTTATAAGAAGGTATATGAATTTTTTAAATTACCGGTAAATAATATTGATATGGAGTTTACAACATGCTTACACATTATTTCATATTATCTGAATTATCTTATAAGCTTATGTATCTTGCAAATGACTAAGGCTAGGCTTCTCAGTTTTGGTTCCAGATCCTATGATGGCCTTAGTAGTTCTCAAGCTGCTATGGAGAAATAACTGAGACTGGGTAATTTACAAAGGAGTTTTAATTGACTCACAGTTCCGCATGGCTGAGAAGTCCTCAGGAAACTCATAATCATGGCAGAAGGGGAAGCAAACACATTTTTTTTTTCACATGGCTGCATGAAGAATGAGTGCTCAGCGAGAAGGAAGCCCCTTATAAAAAAAACCATCAAATCTCATGAGAACTCATTATCACTAGGACAGGATGCGAATGAGTCAACTAACTCCACCTGGTCCCTCCCATGACATGCGGGGATTATGGAAACTACAAGATGAGATTTGGGTGGGAACACAGCCAAACCATATCAATGGCTCACACCATTTGCCTACCTGCAAAGCTTAAAACACACTTGGTCTATAACATTTTAAATTACCAATTAAAAATGAAACACTAAAAGAAAGTCAATTTGCCACATGAGAATTTTCCACAATTTCAGTTAAGGGACTTGCTGTGTTCTGTTAAGCATGTGTTACGGTCAAAATGAAATTAGAGATTCACTAAAAAATGCTTAATGATGCTTATGTAGGTGTGACAAAGATTTGGGGATGTGTTTTCATGATTACAAGACAGCCATCTCCAGTATCAAAATAATACTCTTAAGCCTTCTGAAGCATGTAGGATTTACAATGATACATAAGATTTGAAAAGGATGCTTTACCAAAAATTCTATTAATGAAATAGGAATGCAAATAAGAAAGTACTACGTTTACTACATTGCAATTGGCAACCAAAAGTAACCTTTTTCTAACGTCAACCTTGTATGTTTGTTGCTTTGCTGCATTTCATTTCTTTGGGTAGGTTGTTTTTAATTATTCTCTTAAGAGAAAAAACTTTTGCTTGATTTTCTTTGATCCAGTAGTCATTTAAAGATGTACTACCACCTTCCTTGCTTCTGTCTTCCTCACTTATCATTTTGGTCAACAGAACTTCATCTTTCCAGTTCTTCCAGCCAAAAATCATCCTTGACTCCCCGCTTAGAACTTATGCACTAGCTGTTCCCTCTGGCAGCTCTTTCCCGATAGCAAAGCATTATAATTCCTCAGAACTGAGGCGATACAGAAGAAAAAAAAAAAATGAGCAACTTACATTTGCAAAGTTAATTTATGTATTTTATTTGATTCTCACCATAGTTAGGAGACTTCACTTTTTTCCTGAAAGTTTAAAAGAAGGCCTGAAATCAACCCTTACTACCTTAAACACGGAATCAGTACCAAAGTGTGCCTGAGTATGTTTGTTTTAAAGTGTTCCTCTGCTATAGGTAAGCAGTACTCCTCAATAAAAGATCAAGGTGCCTTCTTGTACATCGGACATCACCATTTCAACAAGAGAAAGCTTCAGAGCCTTCATCATTAGGAAGCTTTCATTTAAAAAGTGTTCCTCCCACTATACAAGTGAAACCAGCTTTAATAAACAGAAATCAAAACAAAGAAAAATACAAAAAAGTGGGGAACACCTTTTGAGTATATTTTCTTAAAATGTTCCATTTTTTCCCGACTTAGCACAATAATATAATAAAGGAACATGGGATCCTTTATTATTATTAACATAAACAGTTAATATTCTTCTCATAAAGTTAACCATGTTTATTTAGTCATTTTCTCAGTTTTTGCCATCATGGTTCTTTGAAAATTTTCTTTGTAATCACTGCGATGACCTTGGAGATCACAGATACATATTACTGCCTCAGGTTTATTCTTAGAAGTGGTATTACCAAATTAAAGGTTTTCAACATTTCTCGGGGTACTGCAATTTTTACACTGCATATTAAAACTGTTATTACTGAGATCTACATTCCTTTCATCAATTCATCAATTCATAAATACACAATCACAGACATCTTGAGATCTACAATACATCCCACTGCGTTCATTTCACAAATTCAGAAGTTAAGCTAAAGATCTGAACCCAGAGGCCAGACCTCCGGACTGCCAGTCTCTCCCCCGATTCACCCCGACTTATTAAGCAGCTGGGCCGACGGTTCCGAACCCTTTCAAGGCAGTGCAGAGCTTCTGCTCCCCTGCCCACTGGAATCGACACTGATCCCAGCCCCTCACCCAACTCCCATGGGAGCAATAGGTAGTTGGAGACTCGCAGAAATCTGAACCCCACCACTAGTCCACACTACGTTGCCAGCCCGCAGCACCTAGGCCACAGGGTTAAACCGGAAACCGGAAAAGGTGAAGGTACCCGACGACCCTCGGCCAGGACCGGCCACTAGCGACACTATCCTTCCCTGGCGCGCGAGGCCAGCCTTTCAGTCCAGACTCATCGAGCCAGGATGCCGCGCTGTGAGGGTTCTCGGGCTCAAGCCCTGCAAAGCCCAGGAGCTGGCTGTAGGTGTCCTTGGTGAATGCCAGACCGCACACACCGTCCCAGCAAATCCCGAGCGAGTATGGGACAGGCAACAAATCAGTGCCCATCTGGCCAGGCAGAATGAGTCGAACGCGGAAGTAGGGAGCAGGCGGAGGCCGGCGGGGAGCTGTTGCTACGCAGGCCGGGCCTGGCTCTGGGCCCTGGGCCTTCCAGCCAGGACTCTGCGCCTGCGCCCGCCTGGCTGCCGCCAGCTCTCCCAGCGCGGCAGCTGTCGCGGCAGCTGCGCGCCGCCTAGGTATCTGGGCGATCCATGGGCAAGAGCAAGGGCCACGATGACAGATTACGGCGAGGAGCAGCGCAACGAGCTGGAGGCTCTGGAGTCCATCTACCCTGACTCCTTCACAGGTGACTTCCGCGGCCGCAAGCCCGCAGCCGCCCTGAGGAGGAGTGGGACGGGCAGGAGCCGCCCAAGCTCTGGGCCTCCTGGGCTGGGATGGAAAAGGGGACCGCGAGGCCGCGCGGCCACCTTACCGACTCTTCGGAAGTTCTTCAGTCACTTACCAGTAACCCAGTGACTTTTTCCCCCTTCTCTGCTTGTTCCCGGAAATCTAAAAGTCAGAGTGATGTTGGAGGGTGTCAGGCCTGGAAATTGAGTCAGGATTACTTTGGTTTCTGTGTAACCTACAGCAACCCGAGACTTATAATACATTAAGAGAAGAGATACCCTGAGATTCTTTTTTGCAGAGCCGCAAGGATGTTAGTTTTCACATTTTCACGTTTACTGTGCTAGAAACTGTTTTCGTACGATATTGTTTTAGTTTATGGGATTCAGAATGCTGTTCTCAGTTACTCAAATCTGTTTTGAGAGTAGCGTAGTCCCGTAAGTCTGTCGGGTTTCTTTATTTATGTTTAAAAAAAAAAAAAAAATCTGGCATGAAGCAGAATGCCTAATGGATAATGTGGCCCAAATTTCTGTTCCACTGTAAATTCATAGGTTGTTAGATTGGAAGGGAGATTAGACATCATCTAGCCTGGGTCTCCTGCTACAAGCCAAGGTCACAGGGGCTCAGGAAAGCTAAGTGGCTTGCTCTGGACGGCCCGCCAGCGAGTTAGCGGCAGGGCTGGTACTAAGAGTTACGTCCAGGGTGCTTGCCTGTTCTTTCACCTTCCAGACATATGGGACTTGGGATTCAGCTCTAGCTGAGATTGGGGGGAGCGGAAGATTACTTGGTAGGTTGGGCTAATGTAAAATATTATAATGAGAAGTTGATTAGGTATAATTCAAAGCAAGAGATTTCTCTATTAAGCAAGCCATGCTTCGGATGATTATAAACATGATACATAACTATATCAGTATGGCTCATCTGAGATTTGAGAAGCGGTCAAATAAAGCCAATGTGAGTGAGTAGAACTTAGGTGTGTGCATTTACATTCCCCATCCCTTCCTTTGAGTGTTGTCTATCATTGATAGTCAGAATTTATAGTGTAAGGTATGATATCTTAACTCATAAACTCCAACCCCTCTCCCTTTCATTGTTTAGCTTAGTTTTCTTGGCTCCACCTTTTGACCGCTACTTGCAATGGTAGCAAATTTTATTCTGCTTTGCCAACAGGCAGATGTCTCTCAGCTACCCCTGTATAGCTCCAGTCCTGTTCATGTTCTCTCTCACCAGCAGCACATCTGTGCTGTGAGGATGTTAAGGGGATGAGTGAAGAGGGGTTTGAGAGTGTCATTAACTGGGTGAGTGTGTATGGAGTCTGGCTCCCTTCTCTATCCTTGCTTATATGTCTATGTCTAAAATAGAATATAGGGTCAGTTGTTGGATATATTCTTAATCATGTTGGGTCATTTCTAGAACTTTAGAAATATAATAGGTGTGAAAACTGTAGGCAGAGTCAAGAAAGCATAGGATGTGCTATTCTTTTCCTTTCTTTGTACATAAGCTATCCCTCACTAAATCCTATGCATATAAGCATTTATAAAACTGATGTCTTTTTTTTTAACCCTGAAACAATCTTGTGGGTATTTCAAATTGTACTAGGCTCTGACAGCTCTGGTATAGCTCGCTATGTGAAATTCTTATCAGATGCCCAAGTGCTTGAGGATTCTGAACCATGGTAATAAAAGACAGTTTATGAATCTTTTGATGCATTCAGGTATTCTGCACTATCAGTTGAGCCATCTGTCTCTAACTCCTGTCAACATTTCTACAAGCTTTGCAATAAATAAATTAAAATGAGATGTCTTTATTTATAGTTCTTAGGGAACTTTGCCTTACTAGTGATCATGTTCTTTATGAAACTTCTTGGGGAAAAGACAGAGGACTTTGGGACAAAATGTTTCCATGTTTGATCTTTTAAAATCTTGGGGATTTGCAAGATTTGCTGTTTTATAGCCTTCTTTTGTATTTATGATTCCATACTTTTGTATTCTCATGCCAGGTTTAAGAAAGAGATCTTGCTTGTGTCAGTTGGCCAAGGAACACTAAATGGGAGTGAGTTAATAACTTCATTTTGAATCACATTTAATTATTGAATTGGGTAAATGCTCAATGCTGCTAATGAAGGAAGTAGATATACTTTTTTTAATGGGGTGAGTGCTTGACAAAGAAGCATTTGTTAAGTACATGTGACCCCATGTGGATGCTGAAGAGGCACAGTCTAGCCCATAGACCTAGGCACATAGATTTAGCCTAACCTCAGATTAATTGCTTTGAGTATTTGCAAAGAACTTTTGGTCCAGTGTTGCATTTGTTGTGAATTATAACAAATCATAATACAATTTCTTCTTTTTGCCTATTCTGTAGCTTGATTGCACATTGATCCAACCCTCCTAACAACTAGTCTTCCAAAATATAAATGGACTCTCCTGATACCACATTCTCCTTCAGTAGTGCTTCACTTGACAAGGTCCTGCTAAGGTAGTAGAATTTGGTTATTTCAATTTATGTATTGAAATCTCTCGCTGTGGGGAATTTTATTGGAACAAATTTGTTGGCATCAGGTTAACCAAAAGCCAAGTTTCGTTAATTCTGTTTGCCTTACAAAGAGGAGTACATAATCCTGTATTTCTTTGTCAGTATCTCTAAGCAGCAGCCATTCACACTTGACAGTTAAAATTGTGTCTTGAGATATGTAAGAAGTCATCTTGTAAAAGCAGTTTGTTCTAAGACATACTTTTTGAAAGGTCAGATGCTCCCTAGCAACCAGAGGCACTTATTTTAATATGGGGTCTCTGGTTTTTTGTGGAAACTAAAGGTAATTTGTGTATCTCATAATGTACCTTTTAGCTGCTAACTCTATTATCCCTGTTTTTGACAAAACTTTAATTCTATCAGTTTCACCACCATCTGTCCCCTAATGTCTCTCCTGCCCTTCCTCTATGGCCAACATTTCTTTCCTTTCTTTCTTTTCTTTCCTTCTTTCCTTCCTTCCTTCCTTCCTTCCTTTCTTTTCTCTTTTCTTCCTTCCTTCCTTCCTTCCTTCCTTCCTTCCTTCCTTCCTTCCCTCCCTCCCTCCCTCTTTTCTTTTCTTTCCCTTCCCTCCCTCCCTCCCTCCCTCCCTCTTTTCTTTTCTTTTCTTTCCCCTTCCTCCCTCCCTCCCTCCCTCTCTTTCTTTCTTTTTCTTTCTTTTCTTCTCTCTCTCTCTCTTTCTCTCTTCCCTCCCTGCCTCCTTCCCTCTTTTAACTCTCTCTCGCCCTCTCTCCTTTCCCTCCCTCCTTCCCTCCCTTCCTTCCTCACCCTCCTACTTCCTTTCTTTCCTTTTTTAAGACAAGGTCACCCAGGCTGGAGTGCAGTGCCCCGGTCACTTCACTGGAGCCATGAACCTCTGGACTCAAGTGATCCTCCCACCTCAGCCTCCAGAGTAGCTGGAATTACAGGCTTGCAGTACTGTGCCTGGCTAATTTTTTCACTTTTTAATAATAGCAGAGGCCTTGCTCTATTGCCCAGGCTAGTCTTGAACTCTTGGCCTCAAGCAAATCTCCCAGCTCTACCTCCCAAAGTGCTGGGATTATAGGCATGAGCCACTGCACCTGGCCCTGGTTTAATCTTTTTCTCAAAAAAAAATATTTTTTATTTTTTGAAAGAGTCTCCCAGGCCAGAGTGCAGTGGCATGATCTTGGGTCACTGCAACCACCACCTCCCAGGTTCAAGCGATTCTCCTGCCTCAGTCTCCCAAGGAGTTGGGATTACAGGTATGTGCCACCATGCTTGGCTAATTTTTGTATTTTTAGTAGAGCCCGGAGTCTCGCTATGTTGCCCAGGCTGGTCTTGAACTCCTGGTCTCAAGCCATCCACCGGCTTTGGCCTCCCAGAGTGCTAGGATTACAAGCGTGAATCACCATACCTGGCCCTCAAAAGTATTTTGATTTACTTACAGGGGTAGAAGTCTGGCATCCTTAGTGAAGATTAATCTTTCTTCTACTTACCCTAACTCACAGTAATGCATGGAAATGAATTAGTCCTTTATCAGAACTCAGGAATTATCTATTTCTGCAAATCCAATTAAGTAGCTTTCCCATCCATATTTTAGTTATTGTCCAACTTTGAAATATTATTCCTTTTTCTGTTTTTTAAAAATATTTATTTTAATAGGATTAGGTTCAGCTGTGACAGAAAATCCCCGATAATATTGGTTTTTTAAAAGGTAAAAACTTATTTTGCCCTTGCACATAAAACAGAGTGTGGCAGCTCTATTTCAAGAATTCTTCAGGGACCCATCTTCTAATATAGCTCTCTGTCATCCCTAAGATGTAGTCTCACACTTGTGGTAAAGATGGTAACATTCCCTCTCCAGGAAGTACAATAAATAAAGGAATGAAGAGCAACAAAGCAGTAAAAAATGACAGTTTCTTAAGGAAATTTCTTGGAAACTGTCAAAGGTCACATCTACTTCCATCTTTTTAGTGAGAACTTAGTCATTTTGTAAGGGCTAGCTGGAAATGAAACCAGGAAATGTCTTCATTCTGGGTAGTCATTATGCTCAGTTAAAAATGGCATGACTTAAATAAGGAGAGAGTGGATGTTGGGGGACTTTTAGCAGTACTTCCCAGTATCTTTTTTCTTTGTTTTACTTGCTTCACATTTTTTTTCTCTATAGTGGTAACTATGTAGCGTCCTTGGACAAATCACTTAGCCTCTCCAAGCCTTAGTCTCTGTATCTGTTTCATTGGAAATAATGTAAGTGAAAATACTTTATATCTTATAATTGTAAAACAAACATATGATACTCTTTACTAGAAATACCATCTTAGTTGTTAATTTTTCCACTAATATGGCTTCATAATTTCTTATCTCTTTAATGATTTTGATTTCCACTTTCTTTTAGCCGCACATGGGCATAGCCACACCTTGAAAATGCCATCGCTAACATTTTGGCCACTGAAAATTACTCCTTTCCATAACCTTTGTAGCCCTATAGTACTTTTGTTCCCACGCATTTACTGAACATGCGTCTCATGATTTCTCATGGATTGATAGTTCATCAGTTTCTTTCTCGTCCATCTTGCCTCCATGTTCTATCTGGCTCCCCAGGTCTGGCATATCACTGATATTCTTGCTAACATTCCTATATCTTTTGGTTTCCTCATTTACCAAATAGTTATTATATGTAATTTTTTAGGAGCTCAGCTTGGGGAAACAGACATCAGATAAATTTAGGCAGAGGGGATGGTCTGAGTTGTTTCAGATAATTTAGGAGTAATGACGACAAGTAGATGAGGCCAGGGAAAGGGTATTCCAGCCTGGGACCAACATATGCAGAAGCAGTACTCTGAGGGATCAGAATATGTTCAGAGGACAAGTGGTTTGGGTATTGCTAAAACATAGAGTGAGAAGTGAGAGTCATGGAAAATGAGACTTAACCAATAAGCTGGGGCCACATCACAGAGGGCCTTGTCAGGGATTTAGATGTGATCTGACGACGCAATAGTTCATCGCCCATTTTATTCCCCCACGGACCATACAGTACATATTGTAGACATTGCCACATCAGACCCAGATTCTAATAGATGGAGTGGCTTCACAAATAAAATAGACTTCGAGTTACACATGTTTTTGAGTGTGTTGGCTGTGATTCTACCCCTTTCTCACAACTCATTCCAACACACTGTATATAGATAGGGAACTGCTGCTGTAAGCATGTAACAATGTGATAAAATCTGCTTGCTGGGAAACTGTGACAAGAGACAGTGGGCGGGACGGGGTAGAATGAGGAGAATTATTCTTCACCTGTTCTTGAAACTCACTTCCCTTGATTTTCATAACATTGTTATCTCTTGAGTTTTTTATTACTTCCTCTTACTTTGTTCTCCAAATTGAGAGTTCGTTACAAAGCTTATGTTGGCATTTATTTCTCTGTATTACATTTCTGATGATCTCATTTAGTCTAATGACTTTAGCTATCACCTCTGTGTAGGTGATCCCAAATTGAATTAAAGCCCAGCTCTCTTTAGCACCATTCACCCATTTCTGATTGCATGTTCAACACTTCCAACTGAAAGTCTTAAACTGTCCTTAAAATATATCATGTCTGATTTTTTTGTTATTACTCATTTTTGTTAGTGGCATTTTTCTCACCCTGCAGTCTGCTAACTCAAAATATCACCACCACTGTTTTCTGCTATTCCCATTGCTGCCGTCCTAGTTCAGGACCTCATTACCTTTGCCTGGATTATTGCAATAGTGACTTAGTTTCATACTGCCTATAGTTGTTTCCCTCCTTTCATTTTATACACTGTTGTTAGATTTGTCTTCCTATGTTTTGAGAACAATTCTGATCATATTATTGCTAACAAAAAGATTGTGCACAACTAAACTCTGAACTGTGTTTTCACCTAGTTTTCTTCGCTCACATATAAGTTCAGCAAACGGAATAATTTCTTATTCCCTATATATATCTTTAGCTTTTGTACCATTATACTCTTGCTTCCATGGTGCCCTCAAATACATTTCCTTTCTCCATCTCTCCTTGCCAATATGCCACCCATGATTCACAGCCTAGCTCAAATGACTTGCTTGGAATTTCTCAGCTGGAAATGTGTTTTTCTTTTTAAATGATACTGTTTATCATTTATTCTGTTTGTTCAGTTACTAGCTGATAACCTAGGACAAGTTATTGAAAAACTCTGTATCACAGTTTTCACATCTGTAAAATTGGGGTGATAGTATATTTAATTATTTCGGAGACATTTTACATTTAACATCTCTGAAATGTGAACTTGTCTTATAATCAGTTACATGTAGGTTTAGTTGGCAGCTTATTTTTCTTTCTTAGTGGTGCATAAAGTATGTCTCATACTGGATGGCGTTGAAAATTTAGTGAATATAGTAATAGTGTAAATCATGGTCTTGTGCCAGAAGTACAGAATTTTCGTGTAAATGCATAGCATAGCATAAGAACAAAGTGATGCTCAATAAATGTTACCTATTGTAACTGAATATTGGTTACCCCTGACCAAAAGCCTAATGGAGTTCTAGAAAGTGGTAATAAGAGGCTGGGCGTGGTGGCTCATGCCTGTAATCCCAGCACTTTGGGAGGCTGAGGCAGGCAGATCATGAGGTCAAGAGATCGAGACCATCCTGGCCAATGTGGTAAAACCCCATCTCTACTAAAATACAAAAATTAGCTGGGCGTGGTGGCATGCACCTGTAATCCCAGCTACTCCAGAGGATGAGGCAGGAGAATTGCTTGAACCCAGGAGGCAGAGGTTGCAGTGAGCCGAGATCATGCCACTGCACTCCAGCTTGGTGACAGAGTGAGATTTTGTCTCAAAAAAACAGAAAGTGGTAATACATTGGAATGTCATTGTGCTGATCCCCTCTTTCTATAGTTGCAGTGTTTATATTTCAGGACTCGTAAATGTTAAAGTTCATCATGAAAGGAAATAAGAATGAAATACATCAACTATATTTTACATATATTTGTTAAAATGTAGACAAGGCCAACCATATTATGGCTCTATTATAACAACCTTTCAGTGAGCTGAAAGTTTTTTCAGCATGGACTGGACTACCCAAGACCTATTAACATATGACTCTACTGAGTGTTTTATCTAAAACTTTTCTAGTAATCACAGGTGTTCATCATTTCTTAAAGTACCTTAAATTCAATTAAAATGAAGACATCTGTCTTGAAAATATTTGTTTTTGTTGTTTTTGTTTTTGTTTTTTTTTTTTGAGGCAGAGTCTTGCTCTGTCACACAGGCTGGAGTGCAATGGCAAAATCTTGGCTCACTGCAACCTCTGCCTCCCAGGTTCAAGCTAATCTTGTGCCTCAGCCTCTGGAGTAGCTGGGATTACAGGCATACACCACCATGCCTGGCTAATTTTTGTGTTTTTAGTAGAGGTGGGTTATCACCATGTTGGCCTGGCTGGTCTTAAACTCATGGCTTCAAATGATCTACCTGCCTCAGCCTCCCAAAGTGTTGGAATTACAGGCATGAGCCACTGTGCCCAGCCAGAAAATACTGTTGATAATATGTATTTATGATGGCTTTAGAAAGTTCCCAGGTAGGAAAAGTTGAATAGTTTCCATGATTACTTCTTCAGTGATCCATTGCTCTTTCATTTCTGAAAAAGTCTGTATAGCTGTCGCCAACCTGGACAGGTACCAGTGCTTCCTGGACAGGGAGTGAGGCTTAGGCTTTTCTCATAGGCTTAGCAGCCATCCCTGGTAGCTTGAAGTTCTTTGTTTTCTTTCCAAAAGGTTCTGAATACAAGTTTTCTTTGTTACTGCTTTTCCTGCTTTCATTTTATTCATTTAGTTCTTCTTTTATTGGGGCAATATTAATTTTCTCGATACTGCCAGATACTGATCTAGGAGCTCTCACAGAGTTGTTATAGTGTTCTTGTGGGGAATAGATAATAAACAGAAATTAGCATTAGATAGACAATAGGCTATAAAATGACATACAAAGCTTTGTTATTTATATAAATGTTGATTTATGTGTCTTGCTCAGTATGTTTAGATTCATAGCTAATTCATTTTAAATTCTGTGAAAGACAGTAGAGGCTTAGTAAGCATTTGTGAAATAATAGTTTGGTTTGAGATGATGTGGTAGAGAAGGACAGGAAGAAGGCACAAACTTTAACAAATCACTATTACTGTTTGTCATGGAGATTCTGAGTTATATCTCACAATATATAAGTATAAAAATCAGTGAAACATGAATATCAATGGGTAGTTTCAGGTGGGAAATATGAAACTCTTTGCCATTATGTTGGGATTTTTTAAGAATGTAATTTTCCATGTATAGGTGGAGATTTTGAAATAAAAGGTAAACTACCTAATAATTTCAGTTGACTTGGTAAAACTCCAAAAGTATTACCTACCATAGGTATTTCTTTTCAGATTAAAGATAGCCCTCCATTTAAATAGAAAGTTGATGATAATTTTATCATTTCAGTCTTCTGTCCAGTCTGTATTTGTGGAAATGGAGATATAGCCTAGGGACCAGTTTCCAGGGCTGGGTATTGATAATTTGCTAATAAGGAAAAAGCATCTGCCTTGGAAAGCATTTCAGTAACTCCTGTCTGTATTTTCTTGCAGTATTATCAGAAAGTCCACCCAGCTTCACCATTACTGTGACATCTGAGGCTGGAGAAAATGATGAAAGTAAGTCTCATAAAAAATACTTGTGGTTTTTCCTAAGCTTCTCAGGAATTTCTCTTATTCTGTAGCCATTATGCTTGATATTGCCAGTGTGGAGGTCCTAAGGGGATATTATGAACCTACTATGAATGTTGTATGTTTCTAGTTAGAATTTACTGTGTGAACATGACTCCTAGGGAAATAGAAAGGAAATTAATGAAATATAGTCTGGCACAATAAGCTTAGTTTTTAAAAGTGAAATGGTAATATTAATATTACAGCAGATGGAGAAAAGGTAGGAGATTTTTGTTTTGTTCAAAGCAATACTTTGCATGCAAACATACTTCAGTGGTTGTGTGGTTCCTTTGAGTGATTGTTCTTTTTTCATGGCTGTTTTTCTCTTTGAACATTTAGATTGTTTACTGGACATTTACTGTTATAAATGGGGTTGGATATACACCTATCTGCATGTTTCTTTCTCTTTCTTTTGAAATAATGTAGCTATAAAACCAGATAATTAAAATGAAATAAATTAAATTTTGAGATATTTGGAGGAGTGTCATCTGAAGTTTATTTCTATTTTAGTCACATTAGTTGACATGGTAATTTGATCTTTAAAGTGGAAATATGCTTGTATTGAATATTTAAAGACTTCAAAGGATTCTCATGTTATTTCTGAGATTTTATATTTATATGTGAAAATGTAAGTATATGCAGATAAAAATAATGTAATTTTTTGAATTTTTTTTTAATGGAGTCTCGCTCTGTTGCCCAGACTGGAGTGCAATGGCACATTCTCAGCAGACTGCAACCTCCGCCTCCCAAATTCAAGCAATTCTCCTGCCTCAGTTTCCCAAGTAGCTGGCCGCGCCTGGCTAATTTTTTAATATTTTTTAGTAGAGACGAGGTTTCACTGCGTTAGCCAGGATGATCTTGCTCTCCTGACCTCATGATCTGCCCACCTCAGCCAAAGAGCTGGGATTATAGATGTGAGCCACTGTGCCTAGCTTGAAATATTTTTAAGGTACTTAAAATATACCAAAATGGAAATAGTGATCCCTTCCTGGTAATGGGATTATTTGTGATTCGATTTTTCCCTTATTTTATTTCTAAATTTTTACTACTGACTGTCTTTTACTTATAGTAGAATAAGTAAATGTTATTTTTTAAGAAACCTTAGTTTTTTAAATGGTTAAATGCACTTTAATATACCTGCATGGTGAAAATCAATTTGCAACTCTTTACGTGTTAAAGAATATTCTCAGGATATAATGCACATGAAACTAATCAAGTATAAAACTCTATTGATAGAAAAGAGGAAAAAACTAATTTGCCACAATGGTAAAATTTATTTTTTAAATTTACTTTTTAATTTTTTGGTGAGAACGTTTAATATCTAATCTCTTGGCAATTTTTAAGTATACAATACATTATTGTTAACTGTAGTAATCATGCACTACAGAAGATCTGAATTTATTCATCCTGTCTGAAGCTTTTTATCCTATAACCAATATCTCTTCAACCCTGATATCAGTTGTAAAATATCTTCTTTCATGTATGATTTTACTTATTTTACTCTTCTCTCTTTTTTCTAGCCTAACGGTTTTATTAGATATTTTCTATTGTTTTTCTAATCTATTTCATATATTTCTGTTCTGATCTTTATTATTTTCTTTGTGCTGATTTTATGCCCTGTATTTTCTCTTTCTAGTTCCTTGAGGGGCATGTTAAATTGTTTTTTGAGATCTTTATTCTTATTCGATGTAGGCATTTATTGCTACTAACTTTTCTCTTAGAACAGCTTTTGCTTCAACTCATAAGTTTTGGTATGATGTGTTTCCATTTTCTCTTTCTAAAAAAATTTTTTTAATTTAAAATATTTTTTAGAGACAAGGGTCTTACTCTGTTACCCAGGCTAGAGTGCCATGGTGCTATCTTAGCTCACTGCAGCTTCCAGCACCTGGGCTCAAGAAATTCTCACACCTCAGCCTCCCAAGTAGCAAGGACTACAAGCACATGCCACCATGCCCAGCTCAATTTTTTAATTTTTTGTAGAGACAGGGTCTCACTCTGTTGCCCAGGCTGGTTTTGAACTTATGACTTCAAATTATCCTTCTACCTTCGCTGTCCAAAGTACTGAGATTACCGGCGTGAACTCCAGCACCTGGTCATATTCCTTATTTTCCTTTGTCTCAAGATTCTTTTAAAATTCCCTTTAAGTTCTTCTTTAATGCATTGATTGTTTAAAGTCTGGGAGGTAGGAGGAATGGTGAGATGTTGGCCAAAGTGTACAAACGTTCAGTTATGTAAGATTAATAAGTTTGGGGATTTAATGTACAATGTAGTGACTATAATTAATTATAAATAATACTGTATGGTATACTTGAAATTTCTTAAAAGAGGTGATCTTAAGTGTTCTCACCACACACCCCCCCACCACACACACACACAAATCATAATGATGTGAGGTGATGTTAATTAGCTTCGTTCTGGTAATTATTTCACAATATATATGTATATCAAAATGTCACATTGTACACTTTAAATATATACAATTTTTATTTGTCAAGTATACCTCAAGAAAACTGGAGATGAAATAAAAATAAAAAATAAAAAAATTAAAACATCTTGTTCCAGCAATAAAACTAAAGTGTGCTAATAAAAGAAAGGAATGAACAGAAGTATACTGTTTCTTACTGACCTCTAATACTTAATCTTTTGCAATTTTTGGTTCATAAAATTCCTTGTTAATATCATAACATGAAAAATAAAACAAAATGTCAAACCTGCAAATTTTAAGGTGCTTATTTTTTCTTATCCATGAAGAGCAGTATTAATTTGTATCAAAATCAGTAGATTTTAATACTATAAAATGCAAGTTACACAAAAGATGGCATCTGGGAAAAAGATCATTGCAAGTAATAGTCTTAACAGAAAATGTTTAGCACTACTGCTTAGTTGCAGACTCCTTGGTTGAATTGAGAATGGTCTGGGCTGCAGAGAGGCACCTTGCACTGACATACCCATAAGAGTTTTACTTGTGTACAGGTATGAAATCCGTAAATTGACACAGACTAAAAGAGTGAGTGAGAATATATAGGTGAATTAATTTAAAGGTTTCCCATATAACCTTTTAAACTGTTGAGGTCAAAATGGTGCCATTCAGCCACTAATTAGCCCTGCTGGCATTGTGTGGATTTGAATATAGATTCCAAGGCTACAGCCAGATCTTCTGCAGGTAGGAACTGGCTCTGGTAGAGGCTAAAAATTAGCCTGTGGTAGTACTTTTTAAAAATGCGTTGTATTCCGTGCCTTTTGTTTATCTTAGGAAAGGTTTTTATTTATTTTTTATTTATTTTTTTATTTTTTTTTGAGACGGAGTTTCGCTCTTGTTACCCAGGCTGGAGTGCAATGGCGCGATCTCAGCTCACTGCAACCTCTGCCTCCTGGGTTCAGGCAATTCTCCTGCCTCAGCCTCCTGAGTAACTGGGATTACAGGCATGCACCACCATGCCCAGCTAATTTTTTGTATTTTTAGTAGAGACGGGGTTTCACCATGTTGACCAGGATGGTCTCGATCTCTTGACCTCGTGATCCACCCGCCTCAGCCTCCCAAAGTGCTGGGATTACAGGCTTGAGCCACCGCGCCCGGCCAGGAAAGGTTTTTAAAAAGTGGCATTTATCCATCCCCTTTCTCAGACATGCAGTATGGTAAAATACTAATAAGTGGTAAATGTACTTCATGTGTAAGTGTGAGTTTTGGTATTCCATGATTTGTTTCACTTATCTCTTTGTGGTATATGTTGTTTAGTGATCATCCATCTGGTCTCTTAATAACCTGTTTTCTTTATAGGAAAATCTGCTGTGCTACTTTTTACTGATTCAACAAAAATATCTACCTCTATACTTTTAAGGTATTCACATCAAACTCTTATCTTGTGTCTTAGCTGTCCAGACTACCCTCAAGTTTACATACAGTGAAAAATACCCAGATGAAGCTCCCCTTTATGAAATATTCTCTCAGGAAAATCTAGAAGATAATGATATCTCAGATATTTTAAAATTACTAGCATTACAGGTAAGGAAATAATAATTTTGTGTTTTGTAGCAGCATTTATTGGCCTTAAATGTTATATATTAATTTCAAGTTAGAAAATGCTATTAGGTGTATAAATAGTACATTAACCACGCAGAATTGATGATACTTAATCACAGAGCATCTTTATTTTTGTTTCCTACTGTCTCTTTAAAATTTGACTAATAGAAGTTGTTCCATTGCCCCTGCTTGAAACTCAGTCGGTAAACTCATGGCTTTTTTGCTCGTTCATGAGTGATAAAATGTCCAACGGATGCTTTAAATTGTAAAGAGTGTTTTGATTGGATTCTTAGAATGTCTAGTCCCATATGTAGCTACAATTTTCAACTTTATAAAAAACTTAAAACTCCTTTTCCCTCTGACTTTTTACATACTAGTTGCCTGCAGTCTGGGAAAAGGACTGATGATTGATTTTCTTTCTACCATCTCTACTGCTCTCAAAGCTTACAAACAACAATAATGGCTTATGACCCCTATGAGGGGAGGCTTGTGTGGAAAAAAAGGGCATTAAAAAAAGTTTTTACTGGATTAATATTATTGTGGGATAGGCTACCTGTAATCTGGGCTTGGCAGGTATCTAAAATATACTCAAGCTTGGGTAGAGAGTTTTCATGGGGTTCTTCAGAGTAGAGAGTAGGGAGGGACGTAAAATTCTTACTCCACCATCTTAAAGTCAGAAGTCCTACCTTTATTTGTTTACTCTAAGAAGAATTGACAGAAAGCATATCTCCACCTTGGATGTGACTTACATATTCTAAAGACCAGTGGTCACTGGAATGTTGATATTATAAAAATATCTGGAGCTGTTGTATGATGAGGAGTGAAAGAAGATATATCAGATAGGGATTTTTGCTGATCCTGGGCCCTATTCATCGTGTTACCTAGCATGAAATTATGCTAATTCTAACATTTTTTTTTTTTTGAGACAGGGTCTTGCTCTGTCACCCAGGCTGGAGGGCAGTGACATGATCATGGCTCATGCAGCCTTGAACTCCTGGATTCAAGTGATTCTTCTGTCTCAGCCTCCCCAAGTGCTGGGATTATAGGCATGAACCACTTTGCCCAGCTTTTCGAACATCTTTTAAAACATTGCAGAAAACCAGGGATGGTTATGCCATATTCAGTCAGTCACACCTTAATGTAAATTATTCAGTCTAAGTGAATTTGCCCATGTGTTCAATATTTTATTTGCACTGAAACGTCTCCTTTCAAAAAGGCTGTTTTGATTTCTTTGACACCTGCGTGAGCCTCCAGTGTATTCAGGGAATATTTGTCCTTTGTTTTCCAAAAAATAATTGTTGTAACTTTCTGATATCAAAATAATAAATGCATATTACAGAAACTCAGAAGATACAAAAAATCACAGAGAAGAAGAAAATAAAGATTATATTTAATTGTACCAACCATGTATAATTGTCTGTTAATATTTTGATGTGATCTAGTATCAGACTTTTTTTCTTATGCTTATATATATTCTCCCAGACAAGTTAGATCATTTTATGCATAATGTTTTATAATATCCTCTTTTTCACATAATGCATATGAGCATCTTTTCATTTCAGTTAAATATGTATGAGTCATTATATTTGTTAATAGTTTAGAATTTCATTGTATATGTAATTACTTATATCTTTTTTAAGACAACTTACAGTTGTCTCATTTTTGCCTGTTATATAATTAACATATAATTAAGAATTAATATATAATATTTCAGCATTCTTATGTGTCACTATTTGTAAGTCTTTAGAGCAGGTTCTCCATTGTACTTTTAGTGCCTGGAACATAATAGACAGTCAAATATTTGTTGAATAAATGAAAATAATGAATTACTGATGAGTATGCTAGTTCCATGTTTCCTAGAAGTGGGATTGCTGGATTAAAGGGAATGCATACTTAAGAATTTCATGCATACTGCCAAATTGGCCTTCAAAATAGTTGTGCCAATTTATGATCTCACTGTAGTCATTGTGGTATCTGTTTTCCCACATTTGCTAGTACCAGATATTTTCATTTGGACATATAGTGATGACAAGGTGAAAATAGAATGTAATGTTATACTTTGCATTTTAAAAATACTAGTGATGTGGAACTAGGATGACTTCGAAGTTGTACAACTTCTATGTGAATGATTAATTTTTTTGCTTTTCTATTGGCATACTTAACTTTTCTAAAAGACATTCTACTTCTATTGGATATGAAAGTTTTGTTATTGAAATGTATCAAGCATTAGGTTGGGTGAACAAGAAAGACGCCATCCCTGGTCTCATAGATTTTATTCTCTGGTGAGCAGTGTGGATTAGCAAATTGGAAATCATTCTGTAGGAAAAATGCTATGACAAACTTTTGAAAGATAGGATTGTATGGGTTGACATAGACAAAGTTCTGGAGAAGCTTCCAGGAGGAACGGAGGACTGTGGGAAGAGTTGGCCAGGAAATAGAGGAGAAAAATTTCAGGGCAGAGGAACAAACTTGTTAAAGGATATTGAGGTGAGAAAAAGCAATTGGTTGATTATTTCTTCTAGAACTTCTAGTCACACAAAATTCATTGAATTTAGGATTTGAAGTTGGTGGTGATAAGTGGTGGAACTAAAGAGGCTACTTTCTTATTTCAAGGGTCTTCTAAACTGTTCACAAAATGTGGATTTGGTCCTGATTGGTTTCCGCAGCTATGAAGGGGTTTTAAGCAAGAGATGGATTAGATCAGTTTTGTGGTGCTTCAGTTTGTAAATTGATTAGTTCTCTCTCTTTCTTTCTTTTTGTGAGTGTTTGTGTGTCTCTGTGTGTGTGTGTGTGTGTGTGTGTGTGTGTTTGTGTATTGAGTGGTCAGGGGAAGTCGATGTTAAGTTTTAAGATTATAGCTTTTAAGAAGAGGAGTTTCTTGTATTCCAAGCTGAAAATGATGGTGCTCTGGACTAGGCTTATAACAGTGTTGATGGACAGACTTATATGACATTTAAGAATAGATAAGAAGCAGTGATGAAGCTTATGATGGGATGGGGATGTTCAGGCTGGGTAGGTGGTGGTACGATTTGCGGAGACTAATGATCCAGGAATAAGTTTTGAGGAGAAGATGATGGTTTTGTGTTGAGATGACTGTAGGACATCAAGTCTCTGCCACCAAATAGTCAGTTTTAATATGGGTCTGCCACTCAGGAGAGAGGCTTTTTAGTCATAGATTTAGGATGGTTAGCATAGAAACACCACAGAAAAGCCCCAGTGAGTTGGATTGTAGGAGCTAGCTTGAAGCCTAGTGCTCATAGAGGGCCCAGAAGATGCAATACCTACTCAGATGCTGCTGAGGGCAGCCCTGTCAAAGAAATGCTTAGTAATCTCTGCTTCTAGCACTGTCTGGCTAGTAGATTTTAAAATTATTTTTGTCTTCCTCTTTGGACCCCTATCTTATTTTTTTCTGCCTTCAAATGACCAACTTCATAATAGCCTTTTGAGTTTATATTCCTTTTATGAGTTTGAGATGCTTTTATATTTGGTTTTAAACTATTTCAAATCTAAAGAAAAAAAAAAGGTTGATACAGATAAACTACAGTATTTCCTACGTTCTTTATTATTATATTATTTTAGAACTCACTCTGGCCTCAAAATGCAGTTCATTGCCACAGCTCTTAAAATAGTCAAAAAGAACTAAATATTGAAAACATGCTGGAGAAAGGATGTTACCAATTACTATAGGAAATAGTTCTCTGAGTTTTACCTATATGATTATTAAATAGAATTTGCTGAAATACAGTATCTGTTTCAGATTGGATATGGCACATTTATATGACTTTAAATAACATTATTTATATGTATATGCTCACTTAAATGATCTTTTATTGAACTGTATGAACATAGGGTATAACTGAATTGGTAATCATTATAAATGTATGGATTTCTGTTTTTTCTGAGAGTGTAGTACTCATCACCTTTTTTTGTTACATAGGCTGAAGAAAATCTTGGTATGGTGATGATCTTTACTCTAGTGACAGCTGTGCAAGAAAAATTAAATGAAATAGTAGATCAGATAAAAACTAGAAGAGAAGAAGAAAAGAAACAAAAAGAAAAAGAAGCAGAAGAAGCTGAAAAGGTATATTTACAAGCCTTGTTTTCTTTTATTCTTAAATCAGTTTTGGTTGCTTGGTTGGGTTTTGAGGGGTTTTTTGATCAATAGCATTTTTTTTTTTTTTTTTGGAAATCACAAAAATAAACAAAAGTAAATTTTAGTGAAGTTTTATTAAGAACAAAATTGTAGAAGTCCCTCATTTGATTGGTAGCATAGTTTGAGTGATGAATGATAATCAGTAGAAGTTAGTAAAACTCATGCGAGTAAGACCAAGAAGTATAAATAATTTCACCTATGATATGGGAGCAGGGGTGTCCAATTTTTTGGCTTCCCTGGGCCACATTGGAAGAAGAAGAATTGTCTTGGGTCATACATAAAATACATTAACAATAGCTGATGAGCTAAAAAAAAAAAAAAAAAAAAAATGCAGAAAAGTCTCATGTTTTAAGACAGTTTACAAATTTGTGTTGGGCCGCGTTCAGAGCTGTCCTGTGCTGCATGTGGTCCACAGGCTATGGGTTGGACAAGCTTAGTATAGAGTTTAGAATTATAACTCCCCTATACTACAGTGAATTAATAGTTACTAATTGTAAAGAAAGCCTCAGATTTTGAAATGAAGTGATAAAGCAAAGATTTAGCATTAGAAATTGGTGTGTATTTAAAATATATCAGTACTGACAGTGTATTAGTTCATTTTCATGCTGCTGATAAAGACATACCCAAAACTGGGAACAAAAAGAGGTTTAATTGGACTTACAGTTCCACATGGCTGGGGAGCCCTCAGAATCATGGGAAGTGAAAGGCACTCCTTACATTGCAGTGGCAAGAGAAAAAGGAAGAAGCAAAAGCAGAAACCCCTGGTAAATTCATCAGATCTGGTGACACTTATTATCACGAGAATAGCACAGGAAAGACAGGCCCCCATTATTCAGTTACCTCCCCCTGGGTCCCTTCCACAACACGTGGAAATTCTGGGAGACATAATTCAAGTTGAGATTTGGGTGAGGACACAGCCAAACTATATTTGACAGTAACAGCTTTTTTCTTAACAATGAATAGCTATGGTGGTAAATACAGTGAATACATTGTATATTATCTTTGTTTTTTGTAATAAGAAAAAAAATGGACTACTCCAAAGTATGTTGCCAAAACCAATGAGAGTAGACAGTGCAGGCAGAAATCAGATTAAATATTTCAATATTTCAAAAATTAATTTTTCTGTTTTTCTTATAAGGAGTTGTGTTTATTTGTTTAGAAGATACCATTAGAATTTATTTGTTAAAACTGCTGTTTCATTAATCTGGTGCCTTTTTTTTTTTTTTTTTTTTAAATTTTCTAAGCAATTATTCCATGGCACTCCAGTTACAATTGAGAATTTCTTAAATTGGAAGGCCAAGTTTGATGCAGAACTCTTGGAAATTAAAAAGAAAAGGATGAAAGAAGAAGAACAAGCAGGAAAAAATAAATTAAGTGGTATGATTCCTTTGCCATTCCTGTTCTTCCTAAACCCTCCTGTATTATTTTTTATATAGCAAGAGGATCATTTGGACAGATTTCTATAAGAAAATAATGTACATAGGCGTCTAGGACAAAAAAGAGAAAACATATCTATAAGATTATATTTCTGCACTCACAATTTATAATTAATTTGTATGGCTTATCTTTGATATTAGTATTATAATTGTTAGATCCGCAATAGAAGGATATTCAGGATCACATCTTAGAAGAGTCAAACCCATTTGTTTTTCTAGTACCCTCAGGAGGACTGGTTTTTCACTTGTTTCATCTTAATGCAGTTACATTTCACATGCCACTTAGCTATTGAATAGGTTCAAAAATTTATTGAAATTCACAGAGAAAAAGGTTTTCAAACTTGCTTTCTTGGATTTTATTTTTTAAAGTGTTATAGTGAAAATGGAGAAAAGCTATGCCATTTGAATTAAACTTTTTTTTTTTTTTTTTAGGGAAACAACTATTTGAAACAGATCATAATCTTGACACATCTGATATCCAGTTCTTGGAGGATGGTAAGATAATACTAGAATTCCACATGTAGGACAGGCACAGTAGCTCACACCTGTAATCTAGCACTTTGGAAAGCCAAGGCAGGAGGATTGCTTGAGGCCAGGAGTTTGAGCCCAGACTGGGAAACACAGTGAGCCCCTGTCTCTATTTAAAAAAAAAAAAGAAAGAAAAAAAGAATTCCACGTGTATATAATGCAGTCTGTTTAGTTTTGAGCCATGAAAATCAAACTCAACTTTTTTTATTGTACATTTTTCCTCCCAAGGCTGTTAAAAATATATATTTTGAAGAATAAATTCTAGTGGTTGGCCAATTTATACATTTGAAATTAATGTTGTAATTCTATAGCAATATATATTTTAAATTTTTTGATAAGCAATATCAAAGATAGAAATAGACAATAATAATCACACTATCCTCTTACAACTATTCAACTAGGTTATTGTGACTCAGGCGAACTGTTTTCTTCAAGTTTCTAGTATCACAAATCTGTGAAAACTATTCCATGGTCTGTTGTGGAGCTTGTAAAAACCTCAGATGTTTAACTCCTAGCATTCCCTCTCACCAGCCTGTCATATGACTCTTGCTATATTTGGAGTATCTAGTCCCTTGTGCTTTTCTTCTATCACCTGTCCTCTTCTTCTCTTCCATCTTTCCGTCATCCATTCACTTACAAATATTTATTGCACTGTCCTGGCCACTGAGGATATAGCAGAGTACAGTATAGGCCAATTCTCTGCCCTTGGGAGCTAATGGCCTACATGTATTTTCTTAAACTGGGCTCCACACTTAGTCACACCTCTGATAGCATGCTAGAGTTCTGTACTTTATTAACCTCTTGTTATTTCTGTCTTGCCAGTTGGGAATCCTTTAGCTTCTGGCCTTTCAGCCTTGTTCTGGATTACCTGCTGAAGAAGGTTAAGAAGTAGTGTTGATGTAGCTTACTGCTAAATGCTTTCTAATCTAAGCTAGGCCTTTACTGACAGTCAACATTTTAAAGTTTTTGATACCTTTTCCTTTTCTGATTTAACTGTTTTGTCGTTTTCACCTAGATGTTTATGGTAGCTTCTTAAATTATTTCCCTAAATCTCTTCCTCCTCCTAGTGCCATTACCTATTCTATAGTCACTTCCTGTGAGATGGTATTTCTGAAACCCATATTTAAACATAAAATTTCTCTCCTTAAAATCCTTTGATGGTTTTCACTGCTTTGAGGGAGAGAATGACCTACACAGTCTTTCTCAATCTGGCCCTCATCTACATTAATTTCAGGTATTTTTTCTCAGGAATTTCATCTTCCAGTTAAAATTATTCTGGTCTTACATTTTCTCTCTGCCTTTGCATATACTTCTGCCTAAAATTGCTTCATCCTGGCTCCTTTTCTTGGTGGATTCAAATTTATCATGAAGGTATTTCAGACTTCATTTGCTCCATGATGTCTTTGCTATATCTCCTAGACAGAGCCCGTTATTCTTTGGCCAGGACTTAATTGTATTTTATTGCTGAATTGCTCATAGGCAAGAAACAGGACTCATTCTCTTTGTATTTTCATTGAATTGAATGTCAACAGACTAGAGTTTGACAGGGGAGGAAGATGAACAATTTGGGGTGATTTAATAGTGCTTTAGTATCATAGTTTTATCTACTTTAGACACACTGAAGAGTGAAGATATTTAATGCAGAGCCTGGGTATAGTTTCCTGTAGGCTTTAGAAATTGTAACTAACGGCATACCATTGGTTAAAAGGGGAACTGGGTGATAATGAAGATCAAGTCAAATCCATTAATTAACAAGTATGGCTGAGCTTTAACAATGTGCTTATCTGATACTACTGGAAGAGATAACTCCTCATACCAGTCCCATGGTCAATGATAATTTTCTGTAACCAGGAGAACATATCATTGTTGTCTTCAGCTGACAACATGCTACATTATAAATAATTCTAGTAAGCTTTTTTAAATAACTGGATTTTTAGACTATGAACTGGAAACATGAAGTTGCTGTTAAAATTTCAGTCTCTACTGACCAATACAAATCACTGTTGATATGATATGTACTAATAGTAATAGTGGTAGTTTGGGATTTCATCACTCCTATCTCACATGCAGATTTGGAGATTTCTGTTTGGTATGCCAATGAGTTGTATCTTTTATTTCTGAATATAAAACTAAAGATGGATTTTTTTTTTTCCTTTTGCAGCCGGAAACAACGTGGAGGTAGATGAGTCTTTGTTCCAAGAAATGGACGACTTGGAGCTAGAGGATGATGAAGATGATCCAGACTACAATCCTGCTGACCCAGAGAGTGACTCAGCTGATTAATGGACTGTCCCCATCTGCAGAGAGGCTTGACTGCCACAGCATCTGTGGCTGTGCTCAGAGGGTTTTGATTTTCCTTTCTTTTTTTCTAGGAAAAAATTATTTTCAGGAGAATATTCTTCTGATTGCTTTCATCATTGAACTTAATAAACTGACGTTAAAATTTCAAATATAAAATGTTCAAGGCTTCTTACTGGTGAGCACAGGTTATGTATTTAAAATCACCTCGTATTTGAGAGAGATCCTGCCTATAACACCAAGACTTGAAGTTAGGCTGCTGCTGTGCACATGAGTGAGTTTATACACAGGAAATGGAATCACTTGGAATTTCTCCTCTGGAGACTTTGGCTATTTTTGGATTTCAGGTGTTTTCTTTTATATGAAGTGTGAGAAGACTGAGGTGACTAGCGCGTTAAAACATCCAGATTCTAGCCTCCAGGCACACTAAATTTAAATCTAAACAAAACCAGGAGGCCATATTATGATCAGGAATAAAATGAACTTTAGTCTTTGTTTTAGTCCATTTTGTATTGCTGTAAAGGAATATCTGAGGCTGGGTAATTTATAAAGAAAAAGGTTTATTTGACTTACAATTCTGGATGACTGGAAGGTATGATAAAGACTGGAAAGTGGTCATATAGTATTTAAATTAGAATCATTTGTGGAGTTCCTAAAACGTATGTATTCTGACGCCCCTCTCAGGTTAGGTTTATGAACCCTGATTCCCAATCTGAATTTTTAAAACAGCAAAATCTCATACTGGTTCTACAGATCATTCTGATGCACAATCTGGCTTAAGAACCACTGTCCTGTAGTCATGAAGTCTATATATTTTGGAATTAGAGAAGAGGTAAAGAAAATATTCTTCACCTCTTCTCTAATTAAGCAGTCTGAAGGAGTTTGAATTTTGGGGTCACACATTGTCAACAAGAGAAACACATTAACATCCATGCACATAGATTGGGCATCTGCATCTGGTGAGGGCCTCAGGCTGTTTCCACTCATGGTAGAAGTGGAAGGGATACTGTGTGTGTAGAGATCACATGGCCAGAGAGTGAGGGTAGAAGTGCCAAGCTGTTTCTTTTAACTAGCTGAGGCCAGGTGCAGTGGCTCATGCCTGTAATCTGAACACTTTGGGAGGCCGAGGCAGGCGGATCACATGAGGTTGGGAATTCAGGACCAGCCTGACCAACAAGGAGAAACCTCATCTCTACTAAAAAAAAATACAAAACTAGCCGGGCATGGTGGCTCATGCCTGTAATCCCAGCTACTCGGGAGGCTGATGCAGGACAATCGCTTGAACCCAGTAGGCAGAGGTTGCGGTGAGCTGAGATCACGGCATTGCACTCTGGTCTAGGCAACAAGAATGAAACTCTAACTCAAAAAAATAAATAAATTTTTAACACTAGCTTTGGTGGGAACTAATAAAGCAAGAACTCCCTTACCCATGCTCCCCACAGGAAGGCATTAATCTATTTATGAGGGCTGTACTTACCGTAACCCAGACACCCCTCTAGGCACTATCTTCAAACACCATCACACTGGGGATTAAATTTCAGTGTGGGATTTGGAGAGGACAAATATCCAAACCATAGCAGTCTTATAGTCTTTAAATTAGAATCATATGTGGAGTTTCAAAAAGGTATTCCTAGGCCTCTCTCAGGTTAGATTTATGAACACGGATCAACAACTTGAATTTTTAAAACAGCAAAGTCTCATACTAGCTCTACAGATGATTCTGATGCACAATCTGGGTTAAGAACCACTGTCCTGTAGTCGCGAAGTCGATATATTTTGGTATTTTCTTTACCTCTTCTCTAATTAACCAGTCTGAAGGAGTTTGAATTTTGGGGGTCATACATTGTCTATAAGAGAAACACATTAACATGCATGCACAGAGTCCTTTGTAATAATTTGGGATGATTGACTAGGTGGCTCCAGGTAGGAGAGTCAGGCTTCATGCAAGTTATTCAGTCATTGCAGTTTTGGAGGACTGACTCTTAACCCCAATAAGAAATCACTTGTGCTATTATAAATTTATAAAGCTATTGAAAAGAGGTGCCTCCAGTAAAAAATACATATGCCATATATGCACAAAAGCAATATCAATCCCTCATTTATTTTTGGAGTTAGACCAAAAATTAAAAGCAAATTATTTAAGATAAAATTACCATTAAGGAGTATAATACTTTTCAAGGAACCTTCATGTCAGCCTTGATCCCAGACCAATAGAATGAAATAACAGGAATGTTCATTTCTTTGCAAAGAGAAATCCAAAAATTTGTCCTGTGTGAGATTTTGCTTTTCCCATCTTTATGAAGTATATCAGCAGATACATAAGAACCTGCAAGAAGCTGCTCAGTTAAGGCTTTTTTTTTTTTTTTTTTTAAAGAGCAATTGTTAGCAATGTGGTGCTGAAGTCAATGAAGGCTTAACTTTGAAGTGTCAGGAATGATACTCCCCCTCCCCTTCATGTTATTTTTAAGAATAAGTTTTGTACATTTCTCCAGGTATTAAAGTGGATGTCCACCTTTGCCAGAACCTAAAGGCAGAACCTAATGGTAAAATGAAGACAACCTGGTTGGTTCTAACAATACTCAAATATTTTCATCTAGAGTAAATATTTACTGTTGGCTTTGTATTCCGGGAATTAGCCCAAGACTATGCTGCTCAAATGGGTGCAAATAGACTCTCAGGTTGCAATAGCATAACTAGGGATATTTGAAGCAATAATTGTTCCATCTTGGATTATCGGTTTTGCTCTTGGATTTGGTAAAGTTTTTGTTTTTCTACTCATGCCAGTTGTATCAAAATGTTACTAGGTTAAAACAAATACAAATATGTTTATTCATTACTGTGTCCCTGTAATAATGCCTGGCATGTAGTAGGCACCTAATATTTGTTGAAAGAACGAATTCTAGAATAGAGTGCAAAATTCTAGTGTATTTCAAGGTAAAGCATGAGAGTTCAAAGAAATGTTCTATTTGCCATCTACAACTTTGAATAATGCTGCTAGATTCTGCTTTACTTCATGCACTTTTGCCAGCAGAGGTGGATGCCTTAGGGGAAAAAATTGGATAAATGCTGATCTAAGGCAGCATATCTACATGGTTATGTGAATATTTCCCAGTTGGGGTAAAACTAAGAGGAGTGATCAATAGCATCTTATCAATTTAAAGGATGATTTCACCAATTGTACTGTCATACTCCAGAGATATATGTGCCAAGAAGCAGAGATGCACTCTAGGATTCCAGAAGAAAGATGATTTGTAAGTTTTTAATATTTGTATGCCAGCCCTTTTAAGTATAATGAAATGTAACAGAAAGCAGGTGAATTACTTCAAATGGCTCTCAATGTTTGTCTTTCAGAGGACATAAGCATCAGGCAGCAAAAGTTGGAGGCATTGTATAATTGTGTCAAAATGAGAGTCACACACATCAAGAACTGTAGGGACTAATTCTAGAAAAAGACTCCAGAAGAGATGACACATGAAATGTGAGTTTATGTAAACATGTAAATTTGAGTGGAATTGGTTTGTTTTCTGTTTAGGAACTGTATCAGGATAGCAGAGATGAAAGAATGCCGCCTGAAATGTATATTGTTAAATTTTCAGGCTTCCATTGGTGAAGTTTCAAGTAACCGTTTGCTTAAGTGACTTGTGTCAGAAGGTGGATGACAGGGTCATTTAAATCGTTGGACAAGGTCATGAAAGGACTTTTAAAATTTTATTGTAAAAATAGCCAATGATGTTTTTAATTTCACATCTAAAACTAATTTGCATTATCCTGTGTTAGTGCATGAATCTCAACTCAGTTCTCATTTTTTAGTTCAACTTTTAACATCTTTATTTTCATTGACACCATGGACAGCACAGTAAAAAAAATACACACATTTGCTTTGCAGTTATTGATTTGGAATGATAACTTTAAAAGAGCCATCAAATATGCCTATGTATTGAGCCACTCTATCATTAAGGTGAAAAGTTTATTCAATTAAGGTGTCTGAGTCCTGCTATGTGACTTTCTTCATGATAATGTCAGTGATTTTTCCCCTGCCATGAAGGGAAGAAAAAAATGTAATTCAGCCGTGAGTTTTAATATTCTCACCATCACCTTATCCGTTTGTAGCCATGCCAACACACTTATTCACACCTGTAATCCCAGCTCTTGGGGAGGCAGAGGCGAGACCTTATCCATTTGTAGCCATGCCAACACATTTATTCACGCCTATAATCCCAGCTCTTAGGGAGGCAGAGGCGAGAGGATAGCTTGAGCCCAGGAGTTCGAGACCTGCCTGGGCAATATAGCGAGACCTCGTTCTCCACAAAAAGGAAAAACAAAAAAACAAAAAAAAAAAAAAAAAAAAAAACCTTACTCTAAAATACACCATACTTTTGAAGTCACTGCAATTTCAGAAAGCCTCATTCCCAGCATGAGTGCTGCTGTCCGCGGTCCTGAACCATTAATGTTAAATAGTATTTCGTTGTTGATCATCCTATCTATCATGTAGCTAAATATTCCAGGAATACTGAACCAAGTGAGGAGAAAGATAGCAGTGGGTTACTGTAAAGGAGGTGAGGGGAGGGCAGAGATAGCAAGTGATAAAAAGAGAGACTAGTGGTGATGTTTTTAAATAATTGCAGTGAAAAAGAGAGAGGGTCGGGCACGGTGGCTCACGCCTGTAATCCCAACACTTTGGGAGGCGAAGGCAGGCAGATTGTCTGAGCTCAGGAGTTCGCAACCAGCCTGGGCAACATGGTGAAACCCTGTCTCTACTAAAAAACTACAAAAAATTAGCCTGGTATGGCAGCCTGCGCCTGTAGTCCCAGCTACTCAGGAGGCTGAGGCAAGAGAATTGCTTGAACCCAGAGGCAGAGGTTGCAGTGAGCCGAGATTGTGCCACTGCACTCCAGCCTGGGCGACAGAATGAGACTCTGTCTCAAAAAGAGAGAGAGAAGAGGTTCTACCCAGTCCACCAAGGCTTTTTAATTTTCTTGCATAATTAACATTATGAATTTTAAAATAATTGTTATGTTTAGCTTTGCTTTTCCACCTTTTGGCAATTTCTACCACATATTTACTTATTTCAAAAAATACTTCCTAGACCATCCTCTTAGAGCTACTACCTATCTCTGCCATTGCAGCTGTTATCCTTGAAAGAATAGTCTCCATTAGTTTTATTTATTTATTTATTTAGAGATAGAGGCTCGCTCTGTTGCCCAGGTTGGCATGCAATGCCGTGTTCTCGGTTCATTGTAACCTCTGCCTCCCAGGTTCAAGCAATTCTCCTGCCTCAACCTCCCGAGTAGTTGGGATTACAGGCATGTGCTACCACACCCGGTTAATTCTGCATTTTTATTAGATACAGGGTTTCTCCATTTTGGTCAGGCTGGTCTTGAACTCCCAACTTCAAGTGATCCACCTACCTCAGCCTCCCAAAGTGCTGGGATTACAGGCGTGAGCCACTGCACCTGGCCCCTTCATTAGTTTTCCTGACTTTTCATCTCTCTGCACGAAGATAAAGGCTGTTTAGCTCTGAAAATCCTTTACTGTTGAATATTTAGATTGTTTTCAAATTTTACGTAATGAACAATGACATCAACATTGGGTTTATACATCATGGGATTATTGGCTGAAAATAAATTGGAAACATAAAACAAAAAAGTTTTAAATTTTCTTAAAAAGGAAAAAATAAAATATTTACCAAAGACTAAGGGTTGCAAAGCCACCTCATGATGCACTCTTATACCAATACTAAAATAAAACTTCACAATAACAACAAAATTATAGTTTTGATGAACTTGGCATTTCAATCAAAGTCATATTTGCCACCATTCTCTCAGTAGCTTTAGGACAATTTCTAAACTGCTTTCAACAAATTAGTTTCACATTTATAATTTTTTCAGTCAGATTTCCTGGAGAACAATAGTTGTTAGGTGCCTACCAGAAAATAAGATTAGAAAGTTATGTTGGAGCCATATTGTGGAAGGCTAAGGAAGTAGGATGGGAGCAAAGGTCATTTCAGTTATATACCAAGCTTGTAGTCCATGCAAACTAAGCCCTTCCTACCACATATATTATTGAAAAATTATTCACCTGCTATTTTGTCAAATAAGTCATTTATAAATTAAAATTTTTCTTTCTTTCTTTCTTTCTTTTCTTTCTTTCTTTCTTTCTTTCTTTCTTTCTTTCTT